ATTATTATTAAATGTCGACCGGTGAAGTGATAATGGCTGAGAAACTTTACTTTTAACTTCGTCGAATGCCTTCTGACAGGCTTCGCTTCAATTGAATTTACTATTTTTCTGCAGGAGGGCGGTGAGCGGCTTTGTCGGCTACGTATTCTCTTACCCAGTTACAGATTCCCAAGAAGCTCTGTAACTGTTTTTTGGATGCCGGCCTAGGAAAATCTCTTATCGCGGCCATATGCTTGTTTAGTGTTGTAACTGTTCCACGAATTTGATGCCCGAGGTACTCTAGAGAAAATTTTAACTTCTCATACATTCGAGGACTAAACGTAGATGACGCTTATGCTCAACAATTGATTTGCTATATATTATAATGTCGTCCAGGTATACCTGGGTAAAGTGGTGTAGATAGCCAGCGAGGAACTCTCGGGTCATCACATTCTGGAAACAGCTTGGTGCATTTTTGAGCCCGAATGGCAATACATTAAAGTGATACGTTGCACCGTCAGGTGTAGAAAAGGCTGTATACTGTTTTGAGGTTTCTTTCATCGGAATTTGCCAATATCCGCTCTTAAAGTCAAGCACCGTGAATACGGACGCCTCACCGAATGACTTAAGAACGTCGGCAATCCGTGGAAGATTGGATGCTTCGGACTTCGTTATCGCGTTGATCTTCCGTTAGTCAATGCAGAACCTAGGAGCTTTGCCTGCTCGTTCCACCAGGACCGGTGGCGAGCTGTATTGTGAAGTAGATGGTTCAATAATACCGTTTGCTAACATTTCATCGAGTTGCTCATATAGTATCTTAGTTTTAGTCGGACTTAAAGGATAAGGTCGTTGATTAATCGGCCGATTATCTGTAACCTCGATGGAATGTTTCGTGATATCATTGACCGACGGGGGTGCAAAAATGTCTAAAAACTCTGCCAAAATTGGCATAAAAAAACTCGATGCTACACTGGAACATCGAGTTGAGGAACTATTAGTTCTTGGTTCTGCGTTGTCTCCATATCTGACCTGATATGTGGTATCCAGAATATGGTACTTCGGTCTGCGTTCCCCACGTACGTACAACGCCGTTGGTAATCCATTCGCGCCTCTTCCTGCACTAGGAATTGAGCACCCAGGATTACCTCCTTATTCAACCCCGGAATGATGTAGAAGGGCACGTTATAATCGCGATCTCCGGTGTGTATAGTGGCCTGACTATCCCTTTCGATCTGACGGCGTCTTCCCCACACGCCAAGGTATAAATGCACGGATCGGGCTGCACGTCGTGGAACGGCATAAGATCTGCTCTAACGAAGTTCTTTGTAGCTCCAGAATCAAGCAACGCCCGAAACATCTGGCCCCGAATAGTAAGAGATATCCTGGGGAGAAGATCAGTGTCTCTTGTGGTGATGGCTTAGATTCGTCGTAGCTTCTTCTTCCTGGAATAGCAGGTCTAAGCCGAACGATTGGCCCCTTTGAAATGGCTCTATGTTATCGGTATTCTCCGTATCTTCTAGGAGTGGAGTGGGCACCTCTTTGAACGCTGCCGCCGAGATGAACGGACGTTCAAAGGTTTCCGTAACCGCGGCTGATTTAGTTCGAGTGTCAGGCCGGGTTACTTTAGTTCGAGTTGTATTTGTACGGAGGACCCTTATCGACGAGCCGTCGCTGGGTCCTGGGACGCCTGCTGGGGGACGACTCGTCTCTCGTTTCCCGACTGTGTGTATGGATTTTGCGGACAGTCGCGGTGAAAATGGTTTTCTCGGCAATAACGGCACGGGTTAGGCGGTTGTGGCGGCCCTCCCTCCGTTTTGATTTTTTGGTCCTTTGGTACCCTCTGCTCTGAAGGTGGACTGGTTGGCGGCGCGGATTGGCTAGGTCTTGGCCTCTGGGGTTGATATCGTCTCGGTTCCGGGTCGGCTGGTTGATGCGACGGACGTGGACGGACTGGCCCCTGGTGGGTCATTTGTCTGACTGGGTGATAGCGTTGAGGTGGCTGCGATGGTGGACGATATTGGTGTCTTGAGGGGCCTGGCTGTGGCGACCTCGACATTAACGGCTAATTTGGATTAGCTGGTGGCAAGGCTGGGTGATTAGACGCATCTGGTTGTGGTACGAACCTGTCCCGTCTAAACGTGGGTAAAGGACCCCGCACATTTTATATGGAAAACGGTCTTCCGGTGAAATTTGCTAAAAATTTAGGAAATTGTTCGTTTTATACCCCTGATCAAAAGTGTCAATGGGGTCGAAGCTCAAAATGCCCATCTTTAGGCTCTACGGCAGTTTTTAGTGGCCAAAAACGGCAAAAATTCTTTCAGCGTGTCTTCTCTTTCGCTTTATTGACATTTTTTCTCTAGAAATCCGCTTCAGTTATGAACTGCGAACTCTTGGAAAATCTTTGGCAACTCTTTGGCAACTCTTGGGAACTCTTTGAAAAAATTCATGAGAGTTCCGAGTTCATTGAAGGTTATTAAAACCACAAAATAATATTGAGACGGTGTGTATTAAATCTCATATAATTGTGCATTCAAAAACCCTCTCACACAAATACATATACACACATATAATTAGACATTGACATATTCCTACATAAAATACACGCATACAATTTAATGAAAACTTAAGGGACTGTATGTACAAGCATTAAACATAATATTTAAAAAAAATGAATTTTTGCCGTTTTTGGCCACTAAAAATTGCCGTAGAGCCTAAAGATGGGCATTTTGAGCATCGACCCCATTGACACTTTTGATCAGGGGTACAAAACGAACAATTTCCCAAATTTGTAGCAAATTTCAACGGAAGACCGTTTTCCATATAAAATGTGCGGGGTCCTTTATTGAGTGGATGTCCGCCTCTATTTGGCTGGCCACGTGGAGCAATTGCTCGAAATTTTGGAAGTTGGTTGCCCTAAGGTGTGAACGTATCCTTGGGTCCAACTGGTTAATGATAATTGCGCTTATCATTCGGAAAGGTGTATCTGAGACTAGCCGTTCAAACATGCGGCGCTTTCTGGTTATGAATACAGCTACTGGTTCTGATTTTTGGCTTTCTCCGTAGAGAATCGTTAAAAGCCTTCCCACGCATTCAGGCGAATTGTACCTGTTTAAAAATACTGTCTCTAACTCTCTGTATCTATTTATTAGGCTATAATTATCGTCCAACCACCTTCTCGCTTCGCCTGTTAGGTGTTGTTGAAACACATTTATTCGCTCATAATCACCGATCACGTGATTGTCCATAAAATAGTGAGCTAATTCGTCGATGAACCACTGGCGGTTCTCATGATCGAGGCCCAAATCAATATGTGAATGGTCGGGTTTTTGCTCGATTATACTGGGCATTATTATGTAGTGCTGCGGCCATTGCATCCGCCATTCGAAGAATAAGTTCTTCGGGACTGAAGGCTGACTCATGCCGCTCATGTTCCCTAGTTGCAAAGGTAACTGCCGGACGAGCAGATGCGGTCGTTGCCGGAACTTGGGCATGTCTTGAACTGGAGTAACATGTGGGTTCGTGATTCGCCTCCGCGAATCTGAATAATGAACTTGGTTGTGTGGAGACCGGAACCGTCAAACTTTGGTCATCCTCGTAATGAGCCCCATCATTACTAACTTCTTGCAGCGACGGGCGCAGAGTCGTCGTACTGACCGTGCTTGGTGAGGGTGTGTCATACCGCTCCCTAGGATCATCTAAACAGTGTTCTGGTATTATTATTCGAGCCCCACGTTGGGGAGCCATGTCGCGTTATCGCTCCTCGGCGTGGCGGAGGGTGTTTCCGTACGCACTTCGGGTCGTAACGCATAGGGCGTAGCCGCGTCACGCCGCAAAAGTCGTTGGGACGCCTGCTGGGACCTCTCAGTCGCCTCCTTCAGCACCTAGAGGGAGTTAGTAGAAACGGGTTCGTCTGGATCGACAGTTGGCCGAGGAGTTGGGAAGAGAATCGCCCCCTTACGGTTGTCGAATTGTCCTGACCACCCCGCAGCTGCTCTATCCACCGAGAATGCGGCGGTCGAACCAACGTACGGCGGTGTTCGTTCTACCTCCTGATCTGAAGAATCTGAAGAAGGGCTGGGAGAAGACGACGTATGAACTAAGTAGTTATCCGCCCAAGACATGGTGAGTTCAATCTCTACAGAAGTAGGTGTAATAGTTCAAAAAGTTCCGGGTTTCAACTGACCCTTTTGTAGACTTAAGAGTCTATGTGTAGCACTGAAGTTACTGAGAGTTCGAGGACTCTGTATAGCACTGAATTTACTAGAGCTCGAGGACTCTGTCTAGCACTGAATTTACTAATCAGACATCAAGGGATTTTCCAATTTGAAAGTCGTGGTAAAGACAATGCAAGCCTTGAGTTTATACTGATGAGTTCTAGGACTCTTATAGTTCTTAACACTAATTGTTTATAGAAATCTGCTGAACCTTGACCCAAAGGCTAGCTATGGCACGGCCTCTTAAGAGAGTTCTCGTATATGTATTGAATATATATATATATACGGGGTGATTCAGGACTTATCCAAAAAAAATTCTGGATGTACAGTGGACTCTTACAAATACAATTTTGAAATGAAAAAATCAAAAAGGGCAATTCAAAAATTATTTAAAAATACACTTCTGCACGGCACTGAAAACTGGTACACTGTAAAACCTGACCTGGAGCAATGCGACCGTCATGGCGACAGTGATAAAAACGGGCAAAAACTTGAAAGAATTTCGCAAGGAAAAGAATAAATAGAATTTTATAGCACCTATTTTATATCAGCAAACTCAACTGATTTTGTTCAAATTCATTTGTGGTTTTAATTAATAAAATAATTTGACATTCCTGATGTTACAACAACTTTCAAAATTTTGTCCACTGACGTGTAAACACATTCGGGTCCGTCTTACTCAGTTTCTACGAACTAACACAAATGCTGTCTTGTTTCACCATAACACAAATGCTTCACCATAATAAAAATGTTTTCTTGATTCACCATAAACTAAAACTATATCCATCAACTCCAAGTTGTTATATACGCAAGCCATTTTTGACACTAACTACTAAAAAACTATTCTAAACATCGGATTGCAGTGTTCTGAGTCGCTGAGGCCACGTGGCTCTCCATGCGCATTACGAATGACGCTAGAGACTACAGTTGTCCAGCTATGTAATGGTTGAAAGCACTACAAATTTATTAATTTTTTTTTCGGAAACTATAAGGATTTTACAAAAATTTTTTTTTACATTATTGACTCATGCCGAATCTATTCCCAAATTTTTTTGGATAAGTTGTGAATCACCCTGTATATATATATATATAGGGTGGCCCACTTTTTTGTAGTAGGACTTTAACAGGCGATAGAGAATCGTATTTTAAGTAGAAAAGTTTATATCAATATAAGTCCGCAAAAGCTTCGATACGGACCTACAAGGTGTACAAAAGTGAAGAATTTTTTAATTTTTTCTTTCTAGCGCCTACAGTTTTTGAGATATTTTGTTCAAATTTTGGGGTTTAGTTATTTATTGGGGTTTACTTGGATAGGTATGCCAAATCATTGTGAAAGTCTACCGCGTGATCATTTTTTCAAGGTCGCGGCCCCTTTTCCACCCCCAAATTTTTTTGTGGTGCGCCACTGACCGTGTCCGTTAAAGGAAATCGTTTCCCAGTTCTGTTTAGAAACTTTTTTATCCCTTGTATTTTTTTCGTATCTGCACCCATTGTTAAAGAAAAAATTGAAAAACTAATATCTGTAATAGGTCAATTTAATGAGACTATTCTAAAATGCT